TTTCATCCGGTTCCACTTATAATTGTTAAATATTTACAATACTTCGACCTGTGTTCAATTTAATCTGCTTCTTTCAAGTTGTTTATTTCTGGTACGTGGAACATTACTTTTGTAGGCAAATACCATCCAGCAATATTGCCAGGGACATTATTTATAAACGATTGGTATCAATATTTGATGGCCACAAATGCAAACTGCAGAATCATAATGTGAACAAAACCCTGATTCATTGTTCTATATTCGTGGTTGAATTCTGACGTCATTAACGATTGACGTCATACTTATGATCAATTTTCAATAGTTATGGATTAGTTTGGAGGGTGGTACCACTGTGAGCCAAGACCACAAGATTATGAACCTTACACATTAAAAGAAACGAGGTTATACTGTTATTAACACTTTAAAACCTCAGTGGTAATTATATATACCAGCTGTTTTAATAATATCTCCCGAGTTTTGTTCCAAAAATTTTTGGGTTTCTTATGATTCTCGGAATAAACAGCGATCATTTCCTTAAATAGAATCAACCAATTGATCACTGTCGTGTTTTGTTCCAGTTCTCGCATTGTTACGACGGACTCACCGGCTCCATCTCCCAGGTGGCACTTGAGTGAACATGGCGTAACGGCAGAATTATATCGAATGGTCTAGAACCTTGTCCCAATACCAACTCTCACACGGACAGCCCCCTGAAGGGAACCCGTGTCTCCTGCACCATCAGCCGTGAACAATGAATTGAAAAGGATGTGGAAGGAAGCGGTCGTGTTAATAATTTCAGGTACTATCCCAGAATTTTCCTGGAGGGAATGAGGAAAACCACGTTTCTTGGAGCCTGAAAAATGGTTCGGGCTTTCTGTTGTAACCGCACGTTTCATCTAACGAGTGTGTGAGAGTCGATCGTTACATTTTAACGATGCTATAACGTCGAACGGACTGTCGGTTTGTGAAGAACACTTAGAGAGATGTCTGTTTAAAGGGATACATTACTGTCACTTACGAAGGGCAGAAATATCCCACTGAACGCCTCGAGACATTTTAACTAGTCGATACTTTCCATCGTTACCTCCTAATATCAAATTCAGTACAGTCGTTCTCGAGTCGGTGCAGAGAAACGATTACAACAAAATATATTCAGCCACTTGTTTTTATTCATCACCGTGAATGGTCGATCGCTTTGTATCAATTCGACTGTTTCGACACGTTCTAAGATTCTAAGACCTGCCAACAAAGTAACCTGTCCGCTGCTGTCTCTCTCTTAAAGGACGTGGCGAGGAAATTGTTGTCTGGTAACTTGAGTCATATCCATTAACAGCATTACCATAGCAACGGTTATAACGACACACACACATTCATAAATATTAACCCACAAGGCCCAAAATACCTAATCGCCAAATGATCACAAACCAGCAGTTACTTGTTATGAATAAAAATACGTTTATAATTAAAAAATATAAGCACGTATCTTGAAACGAGTTTCGTTTTGTCATCAAGTAAAGATAGTGATCTATTCATTATTGATCGTCATGAAATAAAAATGAAGTTAACTTCTATACAAAGCTGAATCCTAAAAAAATAAGAATTATTAGCCCTTGGAAAGCATTACTGCACAGATGTCATGAGACACGCTTAATATTTGTAAATGTCATTGGCTGTAAACAAAAGCATATCAATTAAAGCAGTTAATTAGTGTAAAAGCCTTCGTTATATTTTAATCAGAACAGAATGTGGAAATATTTCGATTTATTTGAAAAAAGTATTGAACACCACACACAAAAACAAATTAATTTTACAGTTTACCTTCAAAATTAAAAAGAAAACAGGGCACAACAAGGCAGACGAAGGAGGGACATTGAATTATACGATCTGAAATTTTAAAGGCTTGTATTTTTCATCAGTGAAATAAAATTAAAAAGACCAATTAGCAAATCAAGAACTGAAAACAAAACACAAACGCTGCCAATGAACGAAATCATTATTTTCAAATACAAACAGCACAAAAACCTTCCAAAATGTGTGCTTACTTCTTCACGCATTCACAAATATACTCTTCGCAAAAAAACAAAAAAAAACAACGCTATATCTCTCATACAATTATCTCCATTAAGATTAAAGACGTATCAATCTCAATGGACAAGGCAAGATAAAAGCTAATCAGACTGTCAATAAATTATCTGCTGGTTATGTAACCCGAAGGTTCATCAACGCACCCTAGTAAACTTATTCTACTTCTTTCGGAACCATTTTAATATTATACTCCCTAAATTACATCTTATCTTCGGGCTTCCGCATAAATTTCTCATCTCTCGCATGCGTGCTACATGTCCCATCCTTTTTATCCTCTATTTGATAACCCTAAGACTATCTGTATTAACAGCTTTATCCTCTATTTGATAACCCTAAGACAATCTGTATTAAGAGTAATCGTTCGTATTTTAGGGTCCCCACGAATCAGAAAGTTCAACAGGTCACAGTTACAATGATTGAGCATACTACATTCTCACGTCAAAACCCTTCACATGGCACTGGGTTCTCACTTGCATTTATGAAAAATCCGTCGGTATAACACAGTTTTATACCGCCAGATAAAAATAGAACGTCCTGGCTTGATTCTATAAAAAAAATACATTTCGTTAAGCATTATTGTTACAAAATCCCGAATAAATCATTCCAGCTGATTTGAAAAGAAACTTTAAAACGCTTATCTGTCACCTTAATCAATAAACCAGAAGTCTAAAAAATACTTTCAATGCAAATCTACTCGTAGTAATAAATACATAATGTAATACCTCAAATATTGAGCTCATATTCCCAATATTTTAGACTTAGCAAATTTCCCTTACACAGGCCTGCCTATACATTACAGTCCCGCTCTAAAATTAGCTCTCATTGAGAGCTACAGCGTACATTAACTTTCATTATCAATTTATCCTTCGACAAAGTTTAAACTAGCGGTGCCTGGCAAGGTACCAACTCGGCGAAAGGGTGCGAACAAAGAGTTGGGATAATCCCCAACTCCACTTAAGTATAATCGGAAGGTTAATCCTCCTTAAAGACATTTAAGTTAATTTAAAGAAACACGTTTTATTTTCCATGCCTTAAGTTCAGGGTGGCAAAAATTCCCTACAGCGATTACAGAAGTCAGATCGACTGCATTAAATGCGCGGAAGAATAAAAATGTTGTTAATGCACCTCTAAACCCAATACATAGTCATAAAAAACGTTGTACCAGAAGAAATGGAAACACAAACTTGATTTAAGTAACATCAAGAAATATTTCATAATACTTAAAATATAAAAAAAAGGAGTTCCTCCAAGTTCGTCTCTTTAAAAAAAGAGAACATAAATATATTTCGTGTACGTCTACAACAAATTTAAACAAAATCTTACGTTTCGTTAAGAGATCCTTCATAAACTGGTTACACTCACCAGTTGTCATGTAACTATCCCCTACAATGGGACCTCGATTATTTGATCTCACAACATCTCTTCGGGGAAAAAAAAAGACTGTTTAACATTTACCACCTGCTTAAACATTGCACATTTCCGGTAAAGTTTATTTAAGGGTTTCGTATGATTCCCCAGAATAAAAATAATTATTTCCCTGTACATCATTAACCAACTGAAATGAGATGTGTTTTCTATGAGGTAGGAACTGAATTTTTTTAAAAAAAAAAAATCATTTCGACAAACTTCATGCTTCAACCTAAGTCACAAGTTGCTAATGCATGTTTCTCATGCAGCCCTCCCGATTTAAATTAATCAAAAAATTTACCCCCTTACTGTGGAGGATACTTGCTAAATCACTAACTTAGTTTCCAAAATTTTATCTTAAAAATTCACTAACAAACAAAACAAAATTTAGCCGTCTCTGTCACCCCTTACTGTGGAGGATACTTGCTAAATTACTAACTTAGTTTCCAAAATTATATCTTAAAAATTCACTAACAAACAAATCAAAATTTAGCCGTCTACGTCATGAAGCTCTCACTAATCATCACCGAAACGTCTTCGCTCTTGCTTTATCCTTACCGGAAGGACAAGCGGGCATTGCCTGGGAACCTTCTAACTATAAGATGCTTTTTCTCACCCCGATTTTGTTATGACGCAATGAGCAGTAAAATTAAAAATATGCATAACAACACAGACCGGGCATTGCTACCAAATCACCACCCCTACTTCGTATTCGGGAGGTCCTGGGCTCAAATCTGAGCGTAGAACCTGTCATTCTGACACGTGTGTCGTCGTTTTTCTCAGTCCCTCTATTTTTGTAAAGCGTCATACATTATGCATCCTTTAAAATTCACTCATTAATCAATCATTCGACGCTATAAATTCTAAAGAACTACTACGTCGTTAAAAAAACTACAAGACAATTAAATTAGCTTAACATGTTAAATAGTAACATTTAAAATATTATATGATGTGTATTTTTAGTACGCAGTAAATTAATACGAAACTCATATAAAAACCTTGGTTAAACGGTTTAAATTTTCCTAGATTTCCTTTATTAAGAACGGATAGGGTGCCCCGTCCACCCTGGTTAATCGTGGTCCCACTGTATGTATAATTTTGCTGTATATATATATATATATTTATTTATTTCCCTCCTGAGAATACGAGGAGAAACTCCACAATATAAAATGAGACATCTTTCCTTCTACCAACAAATACTGAGTCCAACCAGAATTACGTAAGTCTAATTTACACAGTCAATTGAATAAAAATTTCCATGGATATTATCCATCGTCTAGTAAATATAAAACGTAAAACGACGTTTCGGAGATGGGACTCTATCTCCGTCTTCAGGTTCCTACACAGTTGGGCCCACTAGATAGAGCTAGATAGAGTACCATCTTCGAAACGTCGTTTTACGTTTTATATTTACTAGACGATGGATAATATCCAAGGAAATTTTTATTCAATTGATTCTTCACCATCGTCAAGAAGTTTTAGATTTGATATAATTTACACAGCTTTTTGAGAGCCGACTTATTTCTTACCTTTATCACATTCTCAATCAGACGTCATTTTCATCTTTGCTGCAACTCTGAGTTCCATGACTCGATGACGGGGGAGTCGAGTGGATTCCTTGGGCGTCGGTGCACTTGCACTTGAAATTGTTGATACCACAAAATAATAACTTTGGCACGGTGATCACTAAAATATCTTCAATCATATTTCAAACATTCGAAAAAATACCGCATTTAAACTAGTTTAAATAATTTACAGCTTCCTATCAATTAATTTACGTGACTTCATTCGTATGAACTGACAGCTCTAATGTCAGCCTTCTTCAAAACGGTATTTAATTACAATATCATGAGCAAATATGTCTCATAACGTGTAGCTACTAAAAATGTAAAATCGAAGCACACAACACTACGCATTTAATTAATATTACGCCGTTTTGGGACATGTAAATGGAATATATTATTGTACCACAAATAAAAAAATCAATAATTACTTTGTAACTAGAAAATACCAGATGCTAATGTCTGAAAACAAACATTTCAGGATTACAAATGTCACAGTACGCATTTTTCACGAACTGATCGCCCCCACAGATAAATATAGCAAAGTATTCACAAGTAAATAATTTAATTGCATGATAAAACATCTAAATATGTATAATAAGAATTAAAATCACAGTAAATTCAATCACGTGGATCAAGATAAAAAGTTGATCAATTCTTCGTTCTTTTAGGCTATCAACACCACTGTGCAGTTTATCTTCTGCATAAATCTTGATATCTTCTTAGCAGTCCGTAAGAAGGCAAACACGAATTGTTCCCCCACAACCGGTAAATGTCACGTGCCTCTCTAGATGTTACACTTCAAAGCAGATCCTCACACATATCGAGGTGTGACCTGCAAAAGCCTGAAGCCACCTTATGACTGCTTTGGCTGAACACTGCCTCACTCAAAGCGCCACCAGGCCTTCACATGACGTCACTCCCGCACCTGCGTATTGCAAGACAACGGAACCAACCAACATAATCAGAGGCTGGCTACGTTCTTCCTGGACAGCAAATGGTCGTGACGTATCATACAGGCATACCTCGTTTATCAACGCCGCAATTTAAAACCTTTACAGACTAATGGTAACTATGTGTACCACTGGCTTTATTTCATGTTGAATAATTGGCGTGCTGTATAACTTGTGTTGGGCAAGGACGTGGTCTAGGCAACACGGAGTTTTCCTCCGTGGCATCCCAACAATTACTCCATTCACACACAGAAGAAGGCAATGGCAAACCACTTCTGGATCATCTGCCAAGAACGTATATGAACAAGTCCCAGTCCGAGAAAAGGATGGA